GGTCGCAGAGGGGCAGGGCTGGGACTCCACAGGTTCTCTCTGCCCCCGAGCATCCCGACCCCCTCCTCAGGGTTGTTGAGAGCACAGGAACGCGGGAGGCCTCCGGCTTGGCTCCGCAGGGCTCTGGGACAGCAGGCAGGGTGTTATCCATCCGCAGTAAGGCGATGGGGAAAAACCTCATCCCTTCCCGCTGGGCCGCTGCTAATAATGAAGCGCGTGGGGGGAGAACGGAGCCGAGCGACCTCCGAGTCACATTCAGAGCTATAAAAGGAAGCCGGGTCTCCAGCACGGCGCCTCTTCCACAAAAGCAACCGGAGGATGAGGGGGCTGCGCGCGGAGCTGAGAAATAGCTGCCAGGCAGCGGGAGAGGAGCCTCGAGCACCGAGCGAAGTGCGAGGTGCACATATGCTCTCTGTTCCTGCGCATCTACAGCTTCGTGAAACCTGCCTGAAACTGTGTCAGCTATTTTGAACGGCGCTGAGGAATACTGTGCTCCGCGGGCCCCGGCTGCTCTTCGGGGAGCGGGAAGCGGCTGGCGTACAGGTGGCCAATCCCAAAACCCGTGTGAGGGAGAGGCAGGAGCAGGGCTGCTGGGCCAACATCTCCCTCCAGCCGACCACAGCGAGACGTGACAGGTCCTGGGAACACCTCCGGAGCAGCGCAGCGTGTGCCCTGGAATCTTCATGCTGGATATCAGCGCTGCTCTGGGAGCTCGGGCAGCGTCCCCACATCGCCTTGGGGCGAGGAGGCCCAGAGCTGGGGAGGACACGCTGGGCCTGCCTGCACCTCGGATGATGCAAGGTCTGATCCTCACGCCCGGCACTGCCACCTCGCCCCTTCCTCGGGGGGCAGCCCCCACCCACCCTTGTCCACGGAGCCTCGGGCTCCTCACCCAACTCTGGAGCAGCATGAAGAGCAGATGGCACCGGATCTCTCCAGACGCCCCATCCTGCTGCCCCTACACAGTACACGACCCCCACGCTTGCCTCTGATGCTTTGCCTCCTTCATCCCGGTGCTCCTCCCCGGAGGTACATCCTCGGGGCCACTCAGCTTCCCAGGATGACGACAGCTTCGGTCTGGGATGTCTGCGAGCACCCAGCAAAGCAACTGGAAGCGCCAGGCAGGGGACAAGGACAGAAGGGGGCCAGGAAACACGGAGAGCCTTGGTGCCAGCGCTGGTGACGGGGCTGAACACAGGGATACCGGCTGCTCGGCTCCGTCTGCCCAGCTTGAGGAGGCAGCAGCACCCAAAACACATGCCAAAACCTCAGAGCCAGCGCGCTGCAGTCCCACACGTGGAACCATCTGTGAGCCAGCCCAAGCACCCTCCGCTCCAGAGCGGCACAGCACCACTTCACCCAGCAGCCGGAGCAGGCGGCCAGGCCAGGCTGGTGATGGAGGAGAGGAGCCCAGCATGAGCAGGGGTCTCCTTTGAGAGTTGGGGGCGTCTCTGCCACCCCTCCACACACCAGGCTGAGCAGCAGCATCCTGGAGGTCACAGTGCCTGTTCACTCCCAGCACAAGCGGGCATGGACCACATGCTGCTCCACAGCCGCTGCTCCTGCCTGGGGCTCGAGAGCCAGGCTCCTAGAAGGGCATGCACACCCCTACCCAACTACACAAACCCCACTTCCCAGCAAGAGGTGCTGGTGTGGCTGATTTCTACCCAACTGGCAGCCCCCAGGGCCCTTCCTCACCTGCTGGCACCTTCCCAGCTGCTGGGATCCGGCACTGCAGAGTGCCCAGGGACATTTCCAGCATCCAGGGGACATTGACCTCCTCCTCCTCGTGTCTCCTGTCCCAGGGCACGGTCCCAGCATATTGTCAGTGCTTCAGCTGTCTCCCATGGGCTGTTCTCCTCTGGCAGCAGCAGGTGCCCAGGTCACCCGGGGACCTGGGGTGTGCAGTGCCCAGGTCCCCTCCTGCCCAGCAGCACTCCAAGGCCGACACAGCCCTTTGCTCGGGCACCTTCCCCAAGGCCACATCCACAGCAGGGGCCTGAGCCCACAGCAGAGCCCTCACAGGACTCAGCAACTGCATAGCCCAGCCCTGCTGGAAGGGGCAGCCTTGGTCCTCGTGCTGCCCACACCACAGGAGAAGCTGGCCTGGCAGCAAGGCAGGGCCAGGCAGCTGGAGTGAGGGGGTGAGACCTGCAGCCTGGGCCCCGCTCAGCCTTGCCTCTCTCTCCTCAACGCAAACCCTCCTGCTCCCACCTCGAGAAGAGTGTCCCAGCCCCAACCTTGCCCAGGGAAGCTCTTGTTACCCTCATCTCAGGCAGATTTGGGGCAACTGTCCTAATTCCTGCACTTCCCTCACACTGTTGCTCCGGCTCCACAAGCACTGTGGTGAGCCTGGCCACCAGTCTTTCCCAGGACACCTCACACAGGGCCAGAGCAGATCCCGGTTCCCCTCAGCACTGCTGGGGTGACATCAGACTCTCCAGCATCCTCTGCAAAAGGCCAAGGCAGCACATGCCACAGAAGGCAGGCAAGGAAGGGAGCAGCTCAGCCGGAACTCTCCTCCTCGCTCCACAAAGACAGAAGTCCCGGGCTACCTCAACTGCTGACATCCAGCAGAGCTGAGGATGCTGGGGCTGGGGGACCCGGCCCAACCACATCTGCTTCCAGCAACGAAGCAACCCCAGCACAGCCCTGGGGACACCAGGCAGCTGGAACACAGGCACCATCTCACTCAGAATCCATTTCAGAGTGGCTTGGCCTCCAAACCACATCAGATTGCCTCTCCAGAGAGAGCACAGCCAGAAATGGGCGTGCTGAAGGCAGTAAGGTGAAGGGAGCAGGAAAAAAAGAGCTGTGTGGCACAGCCCAGGGCATTCACAACTCACAGGTGCCCTGACAGTTCTTTATTGTCCTCTGAGCTGGGTGGCAGCTCAGCCATGTCCAGTGCAGGAAAACTGCCTCCTGCACCTGCCCTGGGAGGCAGCACCAGTGACCACAGCGACGCCGCAGAGTCCTGCTCTCAGACTCTTCTGTTGGTCCCAGCAAAGCCCGGTTCTCAGCCCTTTCTGTTCCACTGCATCTCGCCAGCACTGCCACGCTCGTCTGCTGCAAAAATCCTGCCTGCTCCAAGCAGCTCGGCGGCAGCCGCGGTATCTTGGCACAAGCACAACGCACGCGACCAGCGCACGGGAGACGGGCTCAGCCAAACGTGCACCAAGGGGTCTCACTTGTGTCACAGTCCAACAAGATATTAAGAACGGTGCAAGGGGCTCCTGCCACACTCAGAGCTGTCCGTGACTCGATTTGGTACCTCACGTTGTTCAGACCTCCCTCACGATCCACCTTAAACTGTTCCTGAGAAAGAGAAAGCTCATTCAGCGGAGGGGGAAGCCCCCCTTGCCCGGGAAGGGAGCGCAGAGCTGGCAGAGGACGACATGAGAAATGAGTGCTCAGAGCACATGGTGATCACAACCCGAATCTCCCGTGGCTCCCTCTGAGCACACTAAGGTCTCACCTGCTTCTGCGCAGCAATGCGCTTCTGGTCTCTCTTCCGCCAGGCTGGGTCGTGCAGGTGCTGGAAAGTCTCATATCCAGTCGTGATTCCAGAGGGACGGCGAACCTGGAAGAAAAGCAAAGCTTCGGTAAAGCTACCGGAAAACTTGCCGCGCCTGATACTGGAGTGGGGAGCGCAGAAGGTCCCAACTGGGCGGCTACAGCCGGGGGCCCGGCGGGGAGACAAGGGCAATTTCAACCCAGGAGGCCACGGAGGACCCCTGACCTGGAGACCGGCTCCTTTGATCCGTCGATAGAACTCGTCGTCCTCCCGACCCCAGCCCCAGAAGCGGTTGGACATGCCGTTGCACTGAAACGAGAGGGGCATCGTCCCGGCAAAGTCCGGTCCAGCACAACGCCACGCGCGCAGAGGAGCAGACCCCAGCACCACAAGCCCCGAGCACCAGCGCAGCCTCCCCTCCCCCAGCGCATGCCGCAGGCTCTGTCCCCGAAGCATTTTGACTCCTTTTCCCCCTTCCCAAGCGCAAAGCACAAAACGCACGACTGTTCACCAAAAGAGCATCACAGCCCCTGCCCCAAACCGGCCAGGACGTCCCAGCCACGCGCTCACCATCTCGTAGTGCTGCTTGGTGAGCAGCAGGATGCCGCCCACGTAGGTCTTG